AAACCAGTAAGCCTCATGTTTAGCTTAATATAGACAATAGATGAACAAACATAGAATGAATTATAGATATATGTACACATGTGTTTAGATTTCATTTTCTAAGCTTTATCTCTTGAGTGGACTGAGACGCAACAAGGCTATAGGATCAAGGGAACAAATTGAACAACAAAATAATCTAGTAGTGGATTATAATCCAAAGCATAAAATTAATATCCATTAGTCCATACTGATATAAATAAGTGAAAAAACAAAACATGAAGAATAAAAAAATCTTTTCTAAAGAAGAATTCTAAATAATTTCTCCTTCAAGGAGAGGAATACTCCACCTTCAAGGAGATGGAGCAAAACTACCCAGCCTTTATAGACTGAGATAGTGCCATCTCTTGAAAGAGTGTTTTATGGAAAGAGTAGGAAAAGAATAACTTTACATTGCAGAAAATCTGTCAAACACTACCTCTGCCAGGTGGTCAAGGTGAACATTGTCAGTGATAAGTCATGTTGATAGTGTTCACTCTTAAATTAATATGATAAAAATGGCACTCTACTCATGAGGTCTTTTTCCCTAGAGGCCATAATGACAGTCTAATAATGAGAAAAATATGAAACACATCACAAGTGAAGGACAGTACACAAAATACCTGACCATTATCCCCTAAAACTATCAAGGTCATTAAAAGTAAGCAACGTTTGAAAAACAGTCACAACCTGGAGAAACCTAGGGAAAATGATGACTAGAGCAATGCGTTGTCATAAATGGGATCCTAGGAAGGAAAAAATGCTGGGAACACTGAAGGAAATCTGAATGATATATGGATATTAGTTAATAAAAATGTGTTAATATTGGGCCATTACTTATGAAAAATAAATCATTAATGTAAGAGATTAACAATAAGGGGAAATGAACGCTGAGTCTGCACTATCTTTGCAACTTTTTTGTGAATGTAAAACTTTTAATTATCAATTTATAAATAAAGGGCTTTAAATAAAATACTTAATTAAATTAAAAAAAAAAAAGAGCTGAGAGGAGTAGGGTTGTGTTGGCTCCCTTAGTTCTGTAGGGGCAAGTTCCTTTGGAGCTCACTCAGGATCCTTATCTGGCCTGTGGCAAGCCCTGGACGACTACACCCACAGATCTGGGGCCAACACCCTTGTCCAATACTCCTGGCTCCCAGATTCCCTGCTGGACAAATTCAGAAGCCACTAAATCAAGTGATTACTGTCCATGGCCCATCTGAGCTGAAATCAAGGATAGGAGTCTGGTGTGCCCCTCTCACTCCTCCTGGCCTCTTCCCCCACCCCCACCCTCCACCACACCACCCTGCAATCTTGAGGGCTGTCCCCTCAAACTCAAGGCAAAGTTCTTACTTTGCCACTTGCAGGGCTTGAACTTCTCTAGCTGCTAACTCGTCACCAGCTCACTCGTACCAAACCCTTCATTTACTACCTTAAAATGTCAAGAGGTGGATTGTGTGCTGCAAAGCTACTTCCTGCCACTCCTGTTTAAAGCTTCCCAGAACTGACAGCAGGGGTGGGGCTCTATGCCGACCCCCCTTCTACTGCGGAGGAGGAAGTAGCCTCAGTCCTCACTTAGGTTTCTAAACTTGACTCCTGGATGGTCACTTCACCTCCTTGAGACTGGGGGTAGCTGTGAGGGGTGGGGGATAAAGAGGTTTGGCCTACATATTCCCATCACCCTCAGTCAATTTGACGATGAACTGCACCATCTGCAATAATTCTCCCCATTCTGCAAAATATTTATATTGGGCCAAAGCCCTACTATGGAAGAATCTGGTGGCAACACAGACCACCAAAACCACAGCACATTTTACCTATGGCTGCAGAGCACTGAGGAACCGAAGGAGATAGTCTCAGGCAGGGCTAACAACTAGATACTTTTTTTCAGGACATATCTACAATCAGCCCTTCATTTACAGAGTCACTAAGGTACTGAGCCTTAAGGAATTCCTTCTCCATCTTCTCACGGCTTGTAACTACAATCTATCTCCCATCACTCACTAGTACTCCCTGGCCCATTTGAACAGTCATCATTCACCATCTTCCCCATACACATAGCATCAACCACAGTGGTGGAAGGACCCTCACACAGGAGAAGAAATACCTTCCTCAAGTAGGCATCAACATGGTTCATGGCTTCAATACACTGGTAAGGAAGTAAAGCCCACTAGAGTAATGAAGAGATGTAGCCGTCACAAATTCCATAAAAACATCACTTGGTAAAACAGGAGAGCTAGCTACTCTCTGCCTGACAGTGAGTAAAGAAGATTCTAAGGCAGAGTATCAGGAATGCCTGTAGACTTTTTATATGGTACATCTGCCCACTTGGACTACCCTACCAGTAGTGATAATTCAGACATTCCTCAAGCTTCTTCATCTAAGTTGTCCAGGACCCTCCAAGATTCCACACCTTTTTTTCTACTACTTCTATCAGAGAAAAAGCTCAGAATATATTTTAAAGCAATATGCACATCATTTTTCAATTCTGGATACTCTTGAAGAGGGTTGAATTTTGGAAGAATGTAGTAAGGAAGTAAAATTGTGATTTATTCATATTGTCAAAATATATAAACTATTAGTTTTTAATTAAAATATTTAAGACACAAGTGGCCGGCATTGTGGTGTAGCAGGTTAAATCCCACTTGTGACATCAGCATCCCATATATCAACTCAAGTTCCAGTTTCAGTGGATTTACTTCTGATCCAGCTCCCAGCTAATCCAGTTCCATGCAGCAAAATGGATGGAACTGGAAGGCATCATGTTTAGTGAAACAAGCTAGACACAGAAGGACAAATACCACTTATTCTCCCTCATATGTGGAAGCTAAAAAATCTCAATTTGAACAAAGAAAAATAATTGATACAGGTTGGGAGCGTTAGGGGGATAGAGGGAGTTTGAATAATGGGTTACAAATTAGAGTTAGATCAAAGCAGTAGTGAGCAGAATAAGGTGACTATAGTTCACAATAATGTATCGTATGCTTTATAAGCAAATAGAAGAAAGGAGCTCCAACTCACCAATCATAAAGTATTGTCACAGCAGGAAATCTTGATAACCCTGATTTGATCAGCACACATTGTATAAGGGTATTGTATAAGGGTACAGAACCATGCATATTTATAGTTATTTAGGTAAACATTTAAAATTTTTTTTAAAATAAAGGTTCCAGCGGTAAGGATTAAACATGTAATTGCTCACTCAAGACAACTAGATTCCCGTGCAAGGACTGGAGAGAGATACTGACAAATCATGGTTGCTACAGCTAAATGCAGCCAGAAAATATTATTTTAATCTTACGACTGTAAAGGACTGATATCTACCAACAACTTGAAAGATTTTGAAAAGAGATTCTTCCCAGAGCCTTACAATAAGGATGCAGGCTCTGATAACTTGGTATGGATCTTGTAAAATGCAAGCACAGAGATTAACAGAGCCAATCTGCATTTCTCACCCACATATGTGTTATAATACATGTATACCATTGTAACATGATGTTGATGGTAATTTGTCACTACAGCCATAGAAATCTATTGTAACCTCCTAGAAGGATTACAAGGCTTGTTGGAATGCAGCCACTGTACATGACTGCTACACAGTAACTTTGCTTTTAATTTTTTGATACTTTGTTTTTTCACATTAGTGTGGTATTGAAACAAAAAGAATGTAGTTCATAGATACAATTCTAAGAATATAATGATATTTTGTTCCTCACTCTCCTCCCACCTTTCCTCCCTCCCCCTTCCTTCCTTCCTTCATTCCTTCCTTTTCCTTCTTTCTTTCCTTTCTTGCTTCTAGTTTCTGAGATTACATATTTTTAATTTACATTAAAATCAGAGGCTTAATGCTCCACTAAATATTCTTCTTGATCCTTCTTCATCTACCACTTCTAAGGGAATTTTTGGGTCTTGACCACTCATCAGGGTATGGATTCAGTGGCCAGTCTCAAATAAATCACCAAATTTGCCTTCATTTCTAACCTTATTTGTTTTCTAAAATCACTAACTTCAAATGTATATCCCCAAGAACCGGTAGATAGTGTGTTAAATTTGACTCTTCTCACAAGTGAATTTGGAAAAAAAATGTAAGTTATTTACTGCAGAACATTTTTGAAGATATGTTATTTATGGTCAGTGTGGAGGAGCCTTACACACTTTGATGCAAATCAAAACTCCTATAAATTGCGTCAAGGTCTACCTTAGTCCCTCCCTTCTTCCTGCCCTTCCTTCCAAACTACTTATACTTGCAATTACTTCACCTCCATTTAAATACCTAGTTTTAGCTTTAGAGTTTGTCAAGTTACATACGTGGTAACCTCATTTAAATGGGTGAACTGTGCCTCTCAGCCTACTGCAAAAGTTTCCAGCACACTGGTTTCTTAGCCCTCCACTGTATATGATTATCTCCATTATTTCTCAGACACTTCCTTGTGTTGGTGTATATAAATTATCCTTTTGTACACTGTGTTCACCTGCACTGAGACAAGAATACAGGACTTTCTCCATTTCTTCCTTGGGTAGAGAATTCTTTCTGGTATGAGGCACATCATATGATGTTTTGGCCCTTATCTGCCGTTCCTACAGGTTCATCTAACCCACCATTCAGATTGATTTACAATTAGCTCACATTGAAGGCCTTACCATTTTCCAAAGTCCCAAATTACCTTGCCATAGAGCAGTTACACTCTTGCAACTAAAGTCTCCAAGTCTTCAGACCTTCTCTTGACTTATCAGTTTGTTTAGGAGATATCTCATTTGTATAGTCTGCATGTTTGTGTGCCCCCTCCATTCATATAGTAAAGCCTAAATCCTCTGTGTGAGGGCATTTGGGGTGGAGCCTTTGGTAATAAGGTCATAAAAACGGAGTCCTCATGAATGGGATTAGTGTCCCTAGAAAGGGATAAAGAAATCAGAGCTTTTTTCTCTCCACCTTGTAAGGATATGGTAAGTAGAAAGAGCCTTTCACCAAGAATTTCAGCTGACAACCTGATCTCAAGCCATCCAACCTCTAGAATTGTGGAAAATAAATGCTTCTTGTTTAATTCTCCTAGTCAATGATAATTCATTATAGAAACCTGAACTATGTCCCTTACCATCTTTCTTTCATTATGAATTCTCCAAAACTTAAATTTTCTGTGGGAGGTCTGATTCTTGTTTATCTTAGCACTCCAGGTACTAACACAAGCTCTCCAAAGAATATATGGTCAATATTTGTTTTAAAAAAATAAGCTCCTGAAAAAGGGGTCTGCTTTATTATTATTTCTCTTACATTTTTAAATAAAGTAAATATAACCAGGTTTGAATGTTATAAAACATTCATGGACCAAAAGTGATAAGTGAAAACAACAATTTATAATCTTTTGTTTTTTCTCCATTTCTTGATCTCAACCATCACAATGGTGAATTCTTTTACATTTCCAACAATATGCTCAATTTACTGTTATACTATCTTGTTCTAAATCACTAAATATTATGGACCATTTCCTAGTTTGTTTTACAAAATAGTAAAACTCTTAAATTTCATTCACAGCAATGAATATTTGAGCAATATCATCCATAAACTTAGATTCTAAAGTTACTTAAACCTTCTGATAAAGGGAACAATATTTTTAAAAACTTATCTAAGAACAAAGAACAGAACAACAAAGCAAATATGTCATATATATTATGTTGTCTCCAGCCCCCCACCCTGACACAGAATGTGGATTTTTTTTATGAACCACAAAACAAGGAATGAATCAAACTTTACTAGTGTGGGAGGGCCTGATGAGTAAGGCCCTGGAACGTGCATCAGCTATGGCTCTAATGCGAGCTCTGGCGGCAGCTCTGGTTTGGGCCCTCTCTTCCTCATCTCTCAAAGCTTCCGCATACCAGGATGTCAAGGCAGTAGGGACAATATCATGGACCTTGGCTAAAAACTCAAGGACTTTCATCTTACTTGTTTCAGCATGAGCTCTTGGGCCCCATAAGAATTCATGGCGTGGAGGAATAGTATTGGGAACCTCCCGGTATATCAGGTATTTTGCTTTCACCAAATCCTTGGTGATGAGCTTCCTGGGATCCCCAAAAATGAAATGCCTCCTCCCATCATATATCCCCATTATATTTAAAATTTGCCATATTTGCTCCTCAGTGGCACAGTTGCCCCTCGCAAAGATCACACCCAAGATTGTCATTAGCAAGCCAGTCTTGGGGATTCCTTCATCATCGCCCAGCTTTGCATCGTAGCTTATATCCAACTTGTTGACGAGGATATAGATATGCCTGTTGGGATCCAGCTTCCTTATGTCAAGGCCAAAGATCAGCTCCATGTATTCAGAAGCTTTCATCAAGATCTCATAGAAGTGGCTCTTGGGCAAACGGATTATATTTCTCATCACATCTGCCTCCCAAATACGCTCTTTCATTTGATACTTGAGCAGCAAGTATTGCACCAAAGTAACTACCTTCTCATCTAGAGGGGCACTACATAAGTGCCCAAAGGCAACCTGGGCCTGTGAGGATGTTGGCCTTTCTCTCACTTGGTTATTGTATCTTGCATGTGAAACAGCTGCAGCAGTAGTGGTGGTGGCTCCAGAAGCAGTTGATCTCTGGGGAGCACTCCTGACACGATTAGATGAAGAAGAGTGGGCCCGTTCTGTCACTCCTGCCGTGGCCTGAGCACCCACCAGGTTCTGGGGCTCTTTCTGAGCCTGACGGCGTTTTGCCCGGGCTCGGAGCTTGCTCTTACGACCCCGAGGCATTTAGGCAAGTTAACTCTGTAACCTAGAAGATAGAAGGTGAAATGGTTAGGTCATTTCAGCTGGGAGATACCTCATTGCTCCCATTCGAAGGTGCTCACTTCCCTGATAGCATAGTTAGAAGTCAGGGTTTTTCACATCAATTGCACATTCACCCATCTCTCAGGACTAAAAGCATGGGCATAGGTGTGTGAGATCTCTTCTGTTCTGAGACTTCACTCAAAGTCTACGACTTCTCTATCACAGTCTATTGGGGCTGTATCCAACTTTTTTTTTTTTTTTTTGTAATTTGACTTACTGAATTCTTCATTTCTAAGATTTCTGATTGTTTCTTTTTCAAGATTGCTTTTATTTCATTCTAATATCTGTCTATTCTCTTATATCTTTTTGAACATCCATATGCCCGATATTCTGAATTATTTATCAGGCATCATGCAAGTCTAGCATACACCCTGAGACTGTGACGTTTCTAGTGCCTGTGAGACTCAGTTTTGACTCAGCTTAATATCAACCTGGGTGGCCACAGTACTGTCCCCATGCTCCTCTCCCAACCTTGGGCAGTCAGAAAATCAGGGATCCAGTCAGGAGAAAGTAGTATAGGAAAGTGAGTTTAGAGCCGTGCCCTGAGGCTCAGGTCTGAGTCCACTGTGGTGAGATCCAGCTCAAGATAAAACCCAAACGTCTCTATCCCCAAGCCAGTACTCAGAGATGCAGCCTCTAGATCATCCTGGCTTCAGGCAGAGACTTGCGCTCTGGTGCCTGGTGTGTTAGACTAGTGTTTCAGCCTGCATCACCCTCAGTATCTCAGGGCCCAGGTGTGCATCCACAAAACAGCATAGGCCCTGTAGTTACAAGACTCAGGTGCAGCCCAGCTTAATGTAAGCCTAGGCAGCCAAGGAACTAACTGCCTTCATCACCGCTCCCTCAGCCATGGGCAAGCATAACAAAAGGAAAAGCTCCATTCACTAGAGAATAGGGTACCAAGGTGAGCACAAGACTGTGTACCGGATCTGGTTATACAATACTTGGCAGATATGAATGGACTCTGTCCCCAGGTCACTGATGATAGATGGAATCCCTGAACCTGCCCCCATCCCAACTTGGGACATGTGACTCCAGTCATCCGATGTCTATCCTAGCCTGACAATGAGTGCAGCAGCCTTGGGCTATAAGCACACCTCAATGACAGGTAGCCCATAGCGAATTATTCCTTGGACCTATCCTGTGCTGCACCAGTCTTGGGAGACTGTGGGCCCTGGATGTGACCTGGCATTACCACATAGGTGGCAGGGTTGTTCACGCCTTTCCTCCTCCAATCACAGGCATAATAACATAGACATAGACGGTGTACTTATCTGCTTGAGGGAAAAAAAGGTAAGTGGTTGAGAAGACATTGCATAGAAATCTGAGGCTGGCACTGTGGGGACATACGCATCTCTTCCTGCAATACCAAGCCCCTGTCAACACAGGCACTCAAGCAACCCCTCCAGGATTGTAGCTGGTGTCCCCACAATACCAGCCAGAATGAACTGAGGGCTGGTGTCCCCACTCTCTCAGACCCTGCCTCGTGGTCTGCTGTCAAGACATAGGAACTCATGCTGGGTCTGAAAGGGGCACCCCATGCCACTGCTTCTGCTATTAATTACTGTGGAAGAAGATCCAGGGAAACTATATTATAGCACCAACCGGGAAAAAAGGCTAAAACAGCCTCTCAAACAAACACTGAAGAGACATCTTCAGGAAAAAGTCTAAAGTCTTTGACCATGAAAGCCACTCACTAAAAGTCATAAAAAATCTAATTAGATAGTTGTGAAGATGCCAATGTAGGGACATAGGAAGTAGGAAAATAGCAGGCAATATGACACCCACAAAGGAACATAATAATGCTTTAGTAACAAACTCTAAAGAAAAGGACATTGATGAAATAATTCAAAATAAATAATTCAAAATATCAGGCAAATGGATGTTCAAAAAGATACAAGACAATACAGACATATTTGAATGAAATCAGCAATAACATGCAAGATATGAATGAGAAATTCAGAAGAAAGAGATCTTGAAAAAGAAACAATCAGAAATCTTGAAAATGAAGAACTCAGTAAGTCGAATTAAAAAAATATATAGTTGGAAACAGCCACAATGGACTAGGTCAAGCAGAAAAAAAAAAGAATATCTAAATTTGAAGACAGGCCTTTTCAAATATCCTAGTCACAGGCTGATGTTGTGGAGCATCAGGTTAAGCTGCCACTTAGAATGCCGGCATCCCATATCAGAGTGCCAGTTCAAGTCCTGGCTGTTCTGTTTCCATCCAGCTGTCTGCCAACACCCCTGGAAGGAAGGCAGCAAATGATAGCCCAAATGCTTGGGTCCCTGCCACACACATGGGAGACCTGGGTGGAGTTTCAGGCTCCCAGCTTCAGCCAGGCCCACTCATTGTGTTTGCAGGCATTTGGGAAGCGAACAGTGGATACAAGATCCCTCTTTCTGTCCGTTTCTCTCTGTCTCTCTCTCACACGTGCTCTCTCTCTGTCACTCTGGCTTTCAAATAAATACATCTTTAAGGTTTTCATTTTATTTTTATTTATTTTAAATGCAGAGTAACTAAGAGAGAGAGACAGAGAATGAGATCTTTCATCCACTAGTTCACTCCTCAAATGGTTGCAACAGCCAGGCCTTGGCCAGGCTGAAGCCAGGAGGTTGGAACTCCAACACGGGTGACAGAGGCCAAAGTACTTGGGCCATTTTTGAATGTGTTCCCAGGTGCATTAGCAAGGAGATGAATTGGAAGCAAAGCAACTGGGACTTGAAGTAGCATTCCAATATCCAATTCTGACATCGTAGGTGGCAGCTTAACCCACTGCACCACCATGTTTATAGGAATAAATACCTACATTAATAAAATAGATATCAAACAAACAACACAATGATACATCTTAAGGACCCAGAAAAGCAAGAACAAATCAAATCTAGAATAGAAGGAAAGAATTAATTTAAGACTAGATCAAGTTTTACTGTATCAATTCCTTTTAGTGTATTAAATGGAGGATATTATTAAATCTCAAAAGTTATAGATATGTCTAAGAGCCCGCAAAAGATGTAACATCCTTAGGTTCTTCTTTAAAGATAATTAAGTTTCTAAAAGGAAAGAAGGGGGAGGAAGGAAGGGAAAAGAAGAAGGGGGAAAATGAAATCACCTTCAAGAAGCAATAACAGAACAGCCCTTTTATAGACTGTTGAGGAACAGTTGTCTTTTTTTTTTATTCCATTCTTTCTTTTTTTCTTTTTCTTTTTCTTTCTTGGACTAAACAGAAGAGGGAGGAGGAAGTGGGGTGGGATGGTGGATACGGTGGGAAGAACTACTATGTTCCTAATGCTGTATTTATGAGATACACACAAATAAAAAATTTTTAAAAATGACTAGATCAGAGATAAATGAAATAGAAACTAAAAAATACAAAAGATATATGGAATGATGAGTTGATTTTTTAAAGAGAAATAAAGTCAATAAACTTTTAGATAATTTAAGAAAAAAGAAGATTCACATAAATAAAATCAGAAATGATAAAATAATTTCACAGATATACAAAAGAAAGGGTCCAACATTGGATGCAGTGAACTAAGCCATTGCTTGCAATGCCAGCATCCCATATTGGAATGCCAGTTTGAGTCTCATCAACTGTACTTCTCATCCATTTCCATGATAATGTGCCTGGGAAAGCAGTGCAAGATGGCCTGAGTCCTTGGGCCTTTGCTACCCACATGGGAGATCCAGATGATGCTCCAGGCTCCTGACATCAGCCTGGCCCAGCACCAGGTATTGCAGCCATTTGGAGAGTGAACCAGCAGATGAAAGATCTCCCTGTCCCCCCCCCCCCAACCGTGTGTGTGTGTGTCCTTCTCTCTCTCTCTCTGCAATTCTGCCTTTCAAATAAATAGGGCTTTTTTAAGAAAAAAAATAATTAGGGACCAATGAAATGCCAACTAAATGGAAAGCCTAGGGGATAAATGGATACAGATAACTTACAAAAATGGAACCAAGAAGACATAGAAAATCTTAACAGATCATTACTTAGTAATGAGATTTAATCAATAATCAAAAGTCTCTCAAAGAGATAAGCTAAGGACCACATGACTTCACTGCTGAATTCCATCAAACTCTTAAGGAATAGCTAACACTAATTATTCTCAAACTACTTCAAATAATTGAAAGGAATGAACCCTTCCAAACTATTTCTATGGGATTGGCACCACCTTTATTCCAAAACTAGAAACAGATACAAGCAAAAAAGAGAACTATAGACAAATATCCCTAATGGTCATAGATTTAAAAATTCTCAACAGAATATTAGCAATTAAATCCAAAACCCATCAAAAAGCTCATTCTTCATGACTGTTGAGGATTTATTCAAGGGAAGCAGGGATAATTCAATACACACAAATCAAAAAAATGTAATATGTCCTATCAATGAATGCAGACTATAAACCATTTAATCCTCTCAATAGATACAGAAAAACATTTACTAAAATTCGACATACATCCATTAAAATAAACTTGAACAAATTAGATACAGAAGGAACATACCCCAACGTAATAAAGGCTGCATATGACAAGCCCATAGCCAACATCACATTGAATGGGGAAAATCTGAAAGCATTTCCTCTACGTTCTGGAACCCCACAATAAAGTCCATTCTCATTACTGGACGTTTTAGTCAAAGACATTAAGCAAAAGAAAGAAATATAAGTAATATAAATAAGAAAGGGAGAAGTTGAATTATCCGTATTTGAAGAAAACATAATTCTATATGAAGAGAAACCTGAAGACTCCAAGAGAGTATCAGAACTGATAACTGAATCCACCAAAGTCACAGTATAAAAAATCAACACGCAAAAATCAGTAGCATTTTCATACACCAACGATGAACTCACTAAGAAATTGTAAGAGCTCTTTAAAAACTCTTAGAATAAATTTAACCAAGGGTGCAAAAGACTTCTACAATGAAAACATACAAAACATTGATAAAAGAAATCAATGAAGACACACAAAATGGGGTGACCTTCCATGCTCATGTTTTGAAAGAATTAATATTGTTAAAACGTTCATGTTACCCAAAGCAGTTTAGATTCAATGCAATCTCCATAATACCAATGAGGCTCTTCACAGAACTACACAAGACAATCTTAAAATTTAAACAGAAGCACAAAAGATCCTACATGGCCAAAGCAGTCTTGAACAAAAAGAAACAAAGCTTAGAGGCATCATGTACCAGGGTTCAAACCATTGTGTAGAGTTATTGTAACCAAAAACAATATGGCAGTGGCACAAAAGATACTTATACCAATGGAACAGAATAGAGACCCCAGATATCAATCTATATGTTTCCAGCTACATGATTTTTGAAAAAGGCGCTGAATACATATACTGGCAAAAGGACAATCTCTTCAATAAATAGTGCTGGGAAAACTGGATAACTGCATACAGAATATTCAAGCTTGACTCCAACCTCTCTATACAAAAATCAAAGACCTAAGTGTAAGACCTAAAACTATGAAAATACTAAGAAAACAGTGGAAACACTTCAAAACATTGGCATAAGCAACAAATTTTCAGGTAAAATGCCCCAAAACAAGCAATGGAAGTAAAAATAGACAAACAGGATTATATCAAACTAAGAAGCTTCTACACAGCAAAAGAAAATGATCAAGAAAATGAGAAGGGGTTAGTGCTGTTGGGTAGAGGGTTAAGCCACTGTCTTCAGTGCCAGCATCCCATGTGCCAACAATTTGAGTCCTGGCTGCTCCACCTCCAATCTGGCTCCTTGCTAATGCACCTCGAAGGCAGCAGAGGATAGCCCAAGTCCTTGGGCCCCTGCACCCATGTGAGAGACCCAGAGGAAGCTCCTGGCTCCTGGTTCCTGGTTCCATCTGGCCCAGCCCTGGCCATTGTGGCCATTTAGGCAGTGAACCAGTGGATAGAAGATCTCTCTCTCTCTCTCTCTCACTCTCCTCTCTTTTTCTCTCTCCTTCTCTGTATCTCCACCTCTCAAGTAAATAAATAAATCTTTAAAAAAGAAAATGAAGAGAAAACTGAAAGACTGGAATCAAATATTTGCAAACTACTCATCCGAAATAGGATTAGTACCCAGAATATATAAGGAACTTAAAAAAAAACTGAACAAAATGCCCAAATCCAGTTAATAAATGTGCAAATTATTTGAACAGGCTCTTCTCAGAAGAAGAAATACAAATGGCTGACAAACACATGAAAAAAATGCTCAAAATCACTAACAGGGAAATGCTACAATGAAATATTATCTCACCCCAGTTAGAATGGTTAGTATCAAAAAAGACAAAAAGTAACAAATGCTAGCAAGGCTGTAGAGAAAAGGAAACCCTTATACACTGTTTGTGGGAATGTACATTTGTGCAACAATTATGAACAACTAACAGTTAAACACAGATCTACTATAAGATTCAGCTATACCATTTCTGGGTATATATAACCCAAGGAATTGAAATCAGCATGTGAAAGAAATACTTGCACTCTCATGTTCACCTAGATATGGAATCAACCTAAGTGTTCATCTACAGATTAACAAATATAGAAAATGTGGTATATATACACAGTGGAGTATTATTTTGCCATAAAAATAATGAAATCTGACATTTATGCAAATAGATGGAAGTGGATATCAATACATTAAATGAAATAAGCCAGACACAGAAAGACAAATACCACATGTTCTGTTTCAGCACTGGAAGTTAAAAAAATCCATCTGAACTTAGAATAGTGATGATTAGAGTTTGGTAAGGGTGGAAGCAGGGAGGGTAGAGGGAGGTTGGATACCAATCACTAAAGCACAGAATTAACAAGTTCTGTTCCACAGTGCAGTGGGGTGACTATAGTCCAACAATATATACTGCACAAAGAACTGGAAGACAGAAGAAAGAAGATTCTAAACACAAAGTATAGATAAGAAATCGGAAAGACTAGTCACTTGATTTAATCGGTTTATACTGTTTAAAATATTGCATTGCATCCAATGAAAATTTACCAATATCACGTTAATCAAAAATTTTGTTAAATAAAATTTTCAAAAGTATATGCTTTTTTAAAAAAAGATTTTATTTATTTGAAAGACAGAGTTACAGAGAGAGGTAGAGACAGAGAGAGAGGTCTTCCATCTGCTGGTTCACTCCGCAGATGGCCGCATCCGGGACTAGAACCGGCACCCATATAGGATGCCGACGCTTCAGGCCGGGGCTTTAACCCACTGTGCAACAGCGCGGGCCCAAAAGTATATGCTTTACTTCTGATAGAGTCTGGAATCATCCGCGCCTGCCACCCCTGTCCCCTGTAGCGATCTGAAGCCAACACCTGGATCCGATACTGATACCAACCCCGCACTTCGCCACCCCCATTATGCCCAGGGCACCTATCACACCACCCACCCTCCCTCTCCGCCCCCGCCATTTTTTTTTGGAAAGAATTTAGAAAATTTTTAGAGATCACGACGCCAGAACAGACAGCAGGGAAAACATTTCCGGAACCCCTCCATTCTGGGCTGGGAAGTCTCTTCACTCCTAACTCTGGGTTTTTACCCAATTCCAGGCAGCGTTCAGAGCTGCCCCTTCGACTGAACGGATGCTGCCCCCCTTACCAAATCTCTCCCTTCCTTCAAACAACACGGCAATGTGTGTCATTTCGGTTCATCCCGACGCAGCCCCTCAGACTAACGGCTCTCTAACGCTTCCTCTATTCTCGGCGGGTGATTACCAGATTTCATTCAGGGACTTCTTTCATAAAACTTGGGAACCGCTCTCTGCTAGTCTGAAGCCAACACCTTTGTCAAATAACCTCATCCCCTCAGTCAGAAAAATGTAGAAGGTTCTCGAAGGTCGGCACGTCAGACGATTCTAGTAAAGTTAACAACAGAGGCCGAACTGTTGGGAAACCCTCCATTTCGGGCTAGAGAATCCCCTCACACCTAATTTTGTCCTTACCTAATTCCAGGCAAGTTCTGGAACTCCTCTCTCAGCCAGCTCGGTATCGCGCCTCTCCTATCAACGCCTTCACTTCGAAGAGACGTCCAGGTGGACATCCGGGTTCACCACTTCCGCCAGACCGTCCCGGATGTTCCCTCAGGGCTGAGGAAGGGGCGGGGCTTGGTGATATTGACGCAGTTCCAACACGGGTAATTCTATTAGAACTCACATACGGGACTTTTATTGATTCCTAGCTGGGACTCCTCCCTGTGGTAACTTGAATTAGCCTGTCTTAAACCAAGGCCCTCCAGCACTTCACCATTCAGTTTCTAGAAGGTGAAGTGAAAGGGCTTCAAAGCCTCACAGTCATGCAGGAATCTCCCAGAACTGACAGCAGGGGTGGACTGCTGTGCCTTCCATGCGGGTGATTTCTGTAATAACCACGTAGAGTCTTCATCTTTACTGAAAACGGCTAAAGCAGAATCTATTTCTTATTTTAATTCCTTTCAAGTTGTGATTATCACAACAATGAAGCTATCACTTTGTACAGCACATAAATCCATCACCCCACCCTGAATAAATTTAATACCATCTACAGTGGCTCTTGATCCACCCTGGAAATATCTGTACTGTAGGCAATCCTCTACTCCACCCAATATCTGATTGCAACAGGCCAAGAAAAATGTCCTCCTCACTCCTTGATATTCTTTCTCCTGCTTTAACTGTCGCTCATCACCAATCCCTCCCATAAATACAGCTTTAATCTTAGTGGTGGGAGGACTATATACACAGAAGGAAAGAAAATACAATTTTTAATTTTTTACTTTTTTATTTTTGCCAGGCATAGTTGACAGTGGGAGAGAGAGAGAGAAAGATCTTCCTTTCATCGGTTCACTCCCCTAATGGCTGCTACTGCCGGCGCTGCACTGATCCGAAGCCACGAGCCAGGTACTTCCTCCTGGTCTCCCATGTGGGTGCAGGGCTCAAGGACCTGGGCCATCCTCCACTGCACTCCCTGGCCACAGCAGAGAGCTGGACTGGAAGAGGAGCAACCGGGACTAGTACCCGGCACCCCAACCAGGACTAGAACCCAGGGTGTTGGCACCACAGGCAGAGGATTAGCCAAGTGAGCCACAGCACCAGTCGAAAATACAATTTTTAAAAAGATTTATTTATTTATTTGAAAGGCAGAGTTACAGAGAGGGGGAGAGAAAGAGAGAGAGAGAGAGTCTTCCATCTGCTGGCTCACTCCCCAAATGGCCGCAATGGCCAGCACTGAGCTGATCCAAAGCCAGGAGCCAGAAGCCTCTTCCAGGTCTCCCACGCGGGTGCAGGGGCCCAAAGTGTTGGGCCATCTTCTACTGCTTTCCCATAGCAGAGAGCTGGATCTGAAGTGGAGCAGCACTGCAGGCAGTAGCTTTACAAGGTACCCCACAGTGCCGTCCCCCCAAAATACCATTTCTTATCAAACATCAAGACAACTCTCAGCCCTTGTACGTGAAAAAGGATGCACTGAATCACCAGAGCAGTGAAGAGATGAGGCTCTTCCAGGATCCATCAATACCAACTGTGGGTGATGCAGGGGAGCTAGCTAGAGTGTGTCTGACAAGTGAGAAGGGGAAATTCTCAAGGCATGTGGGGGTCTATGGTGTGCCTCTTACCCTTTCATCCAATAAAGCTGCCCCTTCAGATACCCCTATAACTTCATGCTAATAATGAGAATTTAGACTCCCAAAACTATCTGTAAAAGTTGCTCAAGTCAGCAGCAATGTCACCATCTTTTCTTCTTCTGGTCCTTTCTTTACTTTGTGCTGAACTCTGGATACAGATCTTTGACTACCATCTGCCCTGGCCTTTCTGTACTTGGTTTAACATGTGATCTCTCTTGTGGATCCTGGAAATTTCTATCCCCAGCTTTTTAGGTCCCATATTAACTCAATTTGTCCTGTTTATGTTTGTTTCCTTTTCCTGGTCATTCTGACCAAATTATTTCTTCTCAAAATATAGAGAAAATTTTTACTTACATGGAATTTTAAAACCTGTGCCCAGACGATTTCTGGTACTCAAGACACCACTGCAGATATCCTGTTTTGTATGGAAGAAGGATTGTGTTCATTTTCTGTTCAACTTACTTAGAAAGCAGTTAAATAAAAATAGAAATAACAGTAAGAAAATATAATTCTCCAAAAATTTTCCACCAATTTTAAAAATTGATCAGTTTAAATGCTTATTAAAAACATTTTTGAAAGGAAATGTTAGTACTGTTTTTTAGAATTTACAATCATCACACTCTTTTTACTTTAAATTTGCACCTTTGTGCATCTTCCTTCAAAGAAGACATCCATGTTTTCCAATGAATTCATGTTCATGGATATTTATTTCAGTCTTATTAATCATGGTAGCAGATGGGAAACAACTTACGTGTCCATCAGGAGGAAAATGGTTAAATTAATGATAGCATATATGCCCTTTAGTATTCCTGGTAGTAGTTAAAGTGTGGATTTATGTGTGCTCTCACAGAAAGCTCATGTGTTCACTTTATTTGGTAACAGGGTGAGAGACAAAACAGCATGTACATTGTTATAAAGGTAAGTTTAAAAAATCACAACATGTTTTCCTAGCACATATATGTAAGAAAAAGTCTAGAATATGCTTAAAAATAAGAGACTCTGGAGCTGGAGTTGTGGCACAGCAGATTAAGCGGCCACCTGTGATGCCACACAAATGCCTTGGCCTGGAAATGGCGAACATTGGTCCTGTTCCTATGTCAGTAACATGGGTATTCACAAGACCCTTTATAACAAGTAGATTGGGAATGTAGTTTCTTCATGTGTCCAAGAAGGACAAAACAAGAAATCTATGGATACTGGCAATCTCTCCTACAAACTGTTACATAGTAGGTGCCCACTAAAGAAGCAACTACAAACGTTTGCTATGACAACAACCTCTTTATTCTTGTAGAATTTTCTGCAAAGGATAAAACAGCCTTAAAATTTGCCAAATTTTTTCTAGTGTCTACTGTGTTTTAGGTGTTTTCAAATGTAGTATAACGAACATTTTCTAAAAGACCATTTAAACTACTCAGCAGGGAGGGTTTGCCTCTTACCACTAAATAGCACCTTTCTCCACTGGCCTTTGTAATAACCTCCATAGATGGATAATTTTCTTTTTCCACTTAGTATCTGGTCTGAATCACAACTTTCAAGTCTCTGTTACACACCACTTGATGACCTGCCTGAACACACTCCTACAGGAGCCCTTAGGCACAACAAAATGTCAGGATTTTCCTCTGGGGCCGATAGAAAAAAAGAGTAAGAATAATGGTGAATTATTTTTTTCTTCTCTTGTCAAAGTTGACATGCTTGCCAGGAAGTCATTTTCTACATCCATAATATGCTGAAATATTGTTCCCTAAGGATGCCCAAACCAGGGCGGGTATTTTGTGCTGCTTGGAATTCCTCCATCCTATGTTGGAGTGCCTGGATTTGAGTCCAGCTTCACTCCTGATTCCAGTTTCCTGCTAATGTGCACGCTGGGAGGCAGCGGATGATAGCTTAACTGTTGCTACACATGTGGAGACCAAGATTGAGTTCCAGTCTCCTTGCTTCAGGCTGGCCCAGCCCCCAGATGTTGTAGTTATTTGATAGGTGAAGCAGTGAATGGAAGATCTCTCACTGTCTGCTCTGTCTCTTTCTGAATCTCTGCATTTCAACTCAGTGAAAATAATCATTTTTTAAGATGCTAATACCCTTATTTCTGAAACATGAATATGTTATGTTTCATGGGGAAGGACACTTTGAATGTGCAGTGATGTTATGAAATAACTTAAAATAAAGATACTATACGGAAGTATCCAGGGGAGCCCAATCATATGATAAGGGACTTACAAGCAGATAAGTTCCTATGGCTGGGAGCAGTGGAGAGTTGTAGCAGAAGTTAGAGAGACTACAAGTGGGGTGAGGATTCAAAGTGTGTGGGCCCATATGCAGAGACTGGAGAGAAGTCTTGAAAAACTATGGCAGCTAAGAGTCAGCAAGGAAATAAGGCCTCACTCTTATTACTGCAAGGAGCTGGAGTTTTCCCAATAACCCGAATCATGTCAGGGTCTGGCTCCAAAGGGACCACTAGCTCAAAGCTTGGTTTGAGCCTTGTGATACTCTGAGTACAGAATCCGACAGAACCATTCCATCCTTCATACCACAGTGAGAATAATTTGTGACAAAAGTCAGAGACAACTACAACTGCCTGGAAAGTCTACAGGGTCTGTAAGAATTCAGCCCCTGCAGACAGTTTTTGCATGTGATCTCCTCTGTCTTTTCTCCTCCAAGACAAGAGGCTGCCTTTGGTTTTTGTCACTTCCTTACACTCCTTTATTAGTATATGAATTCGGCAGCAAGATTGAAAAGGTCATCAGACTAAAACCACCTTGCTTTGAATTGTATCTGCTTTCTAAAGCCTCCTCTCTACTTCAGGATTATATCTGTATTTGGAGATTTAATAGCAATAGATTTTGTACTGAGTCAGACTCTCCCAACTAGCAGATCTGAGAACACTTTGAGAGTGTTGTGGAGGCACCCAGGGAGCTGAAGAGGTCTCTAAGCTGCAGTGTTTGGGTGAAAAATTATGAAAGGGAATGTGGTTTTTAGAGAGGTTCCACAGTAAGAGATGGCACTGCCTGGGAGTTGCAAGCCTCTATGATAGGGATAGGGCAGGTGAGTATGGGCTGTTTTTTTCTTCTGTGTGTGGCTGCAGGCTCCAGTTGAGGGCACATCAGGGAAGACCCAGGGAAGTGTGTGTAATGCAGGAAGCTACTGGGACTGCACATGTGTGTGTTGGGACCAGGGCAGAATCAGATCTCAATCCCAGGGCTAGGGGCAAGAAGACCTCAGGCAAACAAGGCCCTCCAGAAGTTCCAAGTTGTGTTGGATTCTCACTTGTACCTTCCTTCTTCAGGAGTGCTTTTGGTACTTGAGCATGCGATCATTCTGTTTTTCCCTCAGAGACACTGGGGAGTAGTCAGAAGAGAAATGAATTAATAGATCCAAGATCCACCTCAGACTAAGAGGAGAGGAAAAATGTGGGGTGTAGGGAAATTCACCTCAGCACTGTCTCTTAGAAACCATATACATTTGAGAAAATTTCCATGTTGTTTTATAGAAAGGTTTATATATGTATGTATGTATGCATTTATGTTTGTATTTGAAAGGCAGAGTTAGGGAGAGAGAAAGAAGCTGTCCCATCTGCTGGTTCACTCCCCAAACGCCTGCAACAGGTGGGGCTGGGCTACATTGAAGCCAGCATCCTGGAATTCCATCCAGGTCTCCCATGTATGTGGCATGGACCCAAATAATTGGGCCAACCTCCACTGCTTTCCCAGGCGCATTAGCAGGTAACTGGGTTGGAAGTGGAACAGCTAGGATTGGAACTGGCTCTCACCTGGGATGCTGGCATTACAGGTGGCAGCTTAACACGCTGTGCCACAATGCCAGCCCCAGAAAATCACAAAGTTCTATAAGCCCTATGTTCTGTCTGTGACATGGGCTCAATTTAGTCATGTTGCTTCGTGGTTTATGTACACTTCATGAAATCTGACTGTTATAATGTAAGTCACCTGGAACAATGTTGGAATATATTGGGTCTTTGACAATCAGCAGTTATTACTATTATTTTTTTTTATCACAGACAGTATGAATCTCCCTTCTTGGAAAGTTTTAATTTATTTTTTATCCTAGAGATGTTGAGAATATGCAGCCCTCTAGGACATGACACACCAAATCTGCCAAAATCCTTCTTGGAAAATTAATTTACTTACTAAGAAACATTTTGAGAAACACACGTACGTGTGTGGGGGGGCATGGAAGCATCTTTTTCAACTGGATGCAACTCAAGGCTCCCAGAAAATGTGTCAAGGAAGCCCTCATTGACTCTCATCAAAACATCTGTACTTTGCTTTGACTTTGCCAAATTACACTCAAGATCACCTAATTTAAACCCTATTAATGGAATGGGTTCTGCTGTAGTTTGAATGAGTGCCCCCAAAAAACCGTGTGTTAGAAACTTTATCTCTAGTTTAGGGAGATTGTTAGACTATAGGGGTCTTTTTTAATTCTCTATTTGTACTGCCTTCATTAATGGATTAATATTATTGTGGGAGTAAGTTTGTTTTAAAGCAGTGAGTTCAGTTCTCTCTCTCTCTCTCTCTTTCTCTCTCTCTTTTTTCCCTGCCCACCCCACCCCCTCGATGCCCTATGATCTTTGCCATGGAATAATCCAGCAAAATCATCCTTGGCAGATCCAGTACTTTGACCTTGGAATTCCCAGCCCCCATGGCTGTGAGAAACAGATTTCTTTTTTCTTTTCTTTTCTTTTCTTTTCTTTTCTTTTCTTTTCTTTTCTTTTCTTTTCTTTTCTTTTCTCTTTTCTTTTCTTTTTTCTTTTCTTTCTTCTTTCTTCTTTTTTTTTTTTTGACAGGCAGAGTGGACAGTGAGAGAGAGAGACAGAGAGAAAGGTCTTCCTTTGCCGTTGGTTCACCCTCCAATGGCCGCCGTGGCCGGCGTGCTGGGGCCAGCGCACCGCGCTGATCTGATGGCAGGAGCCAGGTGCTTATCCTGGTCTTCCATGGGGTGCAGGGCCCAAGCACTTGGGCCATCCTCCACTGCACTCCCTGGCCATAGCAGAGAGCTGGCCTGGAAGAGGGGCAACCGGGACAGAATCTGGCGCCCCGACCGGGACTAGAACCCGGTGTGCCAGCGCCACAAGGCGGAGGATTAGCCTAGTGAGCCACGGCGCCGGCGAAACAGATTTCTTTATGAGTTACCCAATCCCTGATATTCAATTATAGCAGCACAAAATGGACTAAGACAAACTTTGTGTTTCTTAGGCTTCTGAGTATTGCACGTCAAGATAGGATGACCCTTAGTTCTCAGAAATTTGATGGAGATGATGTGTTTAAGACACATATTTGGGGCCAGCGCTGTGAAGCAGTGGGTTAAAGCCCTGGCCTACAGTGCCGGCATCGCATATGGGTGCCCGTTCGAGTTCCGGCAGCCGCTCCATTTCCAATCCAGCGCTCTGCTATGGCCTGGGAAAGCAGTAGAAGATGGTCCAAGTCCTTGGGCCCCTGCACCCATGTGGGAGACCCGGAAGAAGCTCCTGGCTCCTGGCTTCAGATCAGCTCAGCTCTGGCCTTGGCAGTCATTTGGGGAGTGAACCAGCGGATGGAAGACCCCTCTCTCTCTCTGGCTCTACCTCTCTCTGTTAACTCTTTCAAATAAATAAACTCAATCTTTAAAAAATGAGACACATAGTTTGTGTGGAGTGTGTTCAGGGGGAGCACAAAATACCTTCATGCCTCTGGTGAAAATTTCTACCTGGTTTATCCGTTATCACAAACAACTTCTATAAGTAGTTTTCTTTTTTTAAAAGTATTTAAAATTTATTTTAAAGACAGAGAGAAAGAAAAAGAGAAAGAGAAAGAGAAAGAGAAAGAGAAAGAGAAAGAGAAAGAGAAAGAGAAAGAGAGAGAGAGAGAGAGAGAGAGAAAGAGAGAGACTCCCATCTGCTGATTCATTTCCTAAGTGCTACAAGAGCTAAGGCTGGCCCAGCCAGGAGCCAGGAACCTGGAACTCAATCCAGGTCTCCCACATGGGTGGCAGAGACCCAAGTACTTGAATCATCATATGCTACCACCTAGGGTGCACATTAGCAAGAAGCTTGACTTGGGAGTGGTGGTGCCTGTTTGTTTTCTGGCTGCTCCACTTCCAATCCACCTCCATGCTAATGCACCTGGGAAAGCAGCAGCAAATGACCCAAGTACCTGGGCGCTTGCCACCATGGAGGAGACCTGATTGGAGTTCCAGGCTCCTGGCTTCCAGCTGGCCCAGCCCCAGCCATTGGAGCCATAGGAGCCATTTGCTGAGTGAACCAGCAGATCAAATATCTCTCTGTCTGTCCCCCACCCTCTCTGTAACTCTTTCAGATAAATAAATAAATAAATATTTAAAAAGTAAAAAAAAAAAATCAACTCACACTGAAGGACTTGTAGTTTCCCATCGCCCTAAACCTCTCTGCCTCAAGGCATTTACACCAGATGTTTTTATTTAGACATCCCTTCTGCAACCTGCTTACTCGGTCTTCTGATTTGTCCTTTAGATCTTAGGATATATCATATTCTTTATATAAAATAATATTACATCCTGCCATTCTTACTACCAGTACAAAGGTTTCCAAAAAACAAACACTAGAATAATGTTTGGGGAATAAATGAACCAGTATGCAAGATGCCTAATTTGTTACAACACAATGAATCCTATATTTTTGTATGACCTATGCATATCAAAGTATATATCTGTTAATTTCACAGAATCATAGAATTAAGGGGAATAGAGACTACAATAATTAGCTTTTACCTTTCTTCTCTGTTTCATGACCCCAGATATCACACTATTGAGTTATTTTGTTTCCAAAGAAATGCCTAATTCATTTTCACACTATCTTGTTACAAACCACTAAATAAGATAGTTTCCCAATTTGATTCACAAAATAATAAATCACTCTCAAATCTCATATGCAGAAAAAATTTTGAGCATTGTCATTCATAAGCTTGGATTCTGGAGCTACTATTAAAGGGAGTAATATCTTTTAAAAATTATCCAAGGCTACCACATAGAACATGAGAACAAACATGTTATAGACTATGCTGTCCCCAGCCCCACCTTGAACTTCTGCTGCTTAGAATATGCATGACTCTTTTCAACCACAAAGTGAAGAATCTGTCTCAGACTTTATTAGGGGTTAGAGGTGCTTCCAGGCATGGCTGTGGAACGTGCATTGGCTCTCTCACTAACGCGAGCTCTGGCTGCAATTCTAGCTTGGGCTCTCTCTTCCTCATCTCTTAAAGCCTCTTCATGCTCGGATACAAAGGCACTGGGAACTGTACTGTGGATCTTGGCTAAAAATTCTAGGACTTTCATTTTGCTTGTTTCAGCATGAGCTCTTGGACCCCACAGGAATTCATAGCGTGGAGGATCACTATGGGGCACCTGCCGGTACTCCAGGTACTTTTCTTTCACCAAGTCTTTGGTGATGAGCTTCCTAGGGTCTCCATAGACAAAGTGCACACTCCCATCATATAGCCCCATCATATTTAGCACTTCCCAGATTTTCTCCTCAGTGGCACAATTGCCATTTGTAAAGATCACACCCAGAATTGTCATCAGCAGGCCAGTCTTGGGGACTCTTATTTCATCACTCAAACTCACATCACAATTTGATTCCAATTTGTTGATGAGCACATAGATATGCTTGTTGGGGTCCACTTCCTTCAAGTCAAGGCCAAATATCAGCTCCAGGTGGTCAGAAGCTTTTCTCAGGATCTCATGGAACTGGTTCCTGTATACTTGGATTATGTTTTTCAGCATTTCTGCCTTACTAATTGGCTCTTTCATTTGATACTTGTACAGCAAGTAATGCACCAGCATAACTACCTTCTCATCTACAGGGCCGTTGGGGAAATTCTCCATGGCTGATGGGCTTTGTGTGGACCCTGGCCTTGCGGTGTTTTCATTTGATCTTGTAGCTGGAGCAGCTGCAGCAGTAGTGGTGGGGAATGTGACTGTCTTAGGGCCTTGGGGGTTGCTAAGTGTTCCAGTAAGTGAACTCTGGGGAATATCATTGGAATGAGCAGATGAAGAGGGGGAATACTCAGATCTTTGAGCATCCACCAGATTTTGGGGATCTTTTTGGGCCTGACGGCGTTTTTCCCGGGCACGGAGTTTACTCTTCTGCCCTCTAGGCATGATGAGTCTGTTCAGGTGCAGCAGACAAAACAGCAGGTGAACCAGTGACCTGGGGGAGAGAGAAGGAGACGGTGTGCGCCTACTCACCAAAAGGACAGCACTTTGGCTTTATCCATGGCTCTTCTGCAAGTTTTCTTGTATCCACTACTCAAGGAATGCACAAGGTCTTATTCTCTGCTCTGCTTGTGCCCTGACTACCCTGTGAAATAGCAGGGTGTGTATTTTACTGCTAACTGTCAGATCTGCTAGGGGCTTACAAGGGTAATGACAGCAAGGTCTGGCAGGTCTAGGCTTTGTGGAAGTCCCTTTGCTATTGGGTAGGGAGATTTCTCTTAATTCACATTCAGGACCATCATCTTGGTTTCTGTAAGGTTCTGAATCCTTCTACTTTGCTGTTCTGAAATTGATCCCTCATTTCAACACCCCCATCTTCCTTTTATCCTGGAGGAGAAACTCATCTTACCACATCTGCCTGGGGCACCTGGGATGACAGAAGATGAAGGATAAAAATAAAGAGACTCTATTTTTTTAAGATTTATCTATTGATTTAAATGGCAGAGTGACAGAGAGGAAGAGAGTGAGAGAGCAAGAGAGCGAGAGAGAGATATCCACATGCTGGTTCACTCCCCAAATGGCTGCAAACGGCTGGGGTGGTGCCAGAAAACCAGGAGCTTGGAACTGCAACCAGGTCTCCTACATAGTGGCAGGGGCCCAGGCACTTGGGCCATCTTCTGCTGCATTCCCAGGAGCATCAGCAGGGAGGTGGATTGGAAGTGGAGCAGCTGGGACTGTAACCAGTGCTCATATGGTCACTGGTGGTGGAGGCAGCGATTGAACTGGCTGCGCCACAATGCTGACCTGAGTCCCTGTTTATTCCTCAGTATTTGAGGTTCTCATTCTTCCTTCAGGGCCCCCTCCTTGATATCTGATGAGGCCTGGGACTACACCTTCTGCTGACCTGAGGCTTATCTCATCAGAGAAAGATCCTCACATCCCTGAGATCCCAAAGGAAGACATTAGAGACACCTCCACTCCACATATCTACCCCTGAATCACTCAGGGTTGACAGTGTAGATGGGACACAGTGCCTGCCCCTCTTGACCTTGAGAGGATGATTCCCTCTGAACTCAGGATCCTCCCCTTTGGTACTCTTGTACTACGGTGTCTGGGACTCCTTTTCTGCTGGCCTGAAACTGACACTCTAGTCTAACAGCCTCATATCCCTGAGCTCTCACCAGAACAACTTGGAGAATGCTTCATCGGGCCATCTCTGCCAGGGTCTATCAGGAATCCGTAGGGTCCCCTATCTTCTGGGGGACCCTACACTTAATATTTATATATTACTTGCCTTTCAAGACCGGGAAATAATTCCTTTGACAGCCAAAAGCCCTTCACTTTTCTGGGAGGTTGGTAACAGAATTCAGAATGTGTCACATTCGGCCACTCCCACCCGAGACCTCCCTAGGTCCTTGGCAGGGGCGGGACTCTGTACAAACCCTTCTCTTTTGTGGGGTGAGGGGCTCCCTCATATCTCAGGGTCCTTACCTTCGCTTCTGTTAAAGCTTGAGACTCTTCCATCTGCTGGCCTGTGGCTGTACTGCTGTACTTTTCTTAAATCTCTTTGCCCCGGGTCTGCTACCGCTGACCGCAGGGGCGGGACTCTGTGGGACCCTCACGCTGGGTCAGGGAACACCCTGACACCTCATAAAGGGTCCTTTACCCTCTGGCAGGGCTTGGGACTCCTCCCCCTGCCAACTTAGCACTGCCCCTTCTCACTCTGTGATTCGCTTTCCTGAAACGCCAAAGGCGGAACTCAGGGTAGGTTTTATCTGGCCACGCCCACCAACGGCCTTTTAGGTCAGACAAGCTTGAATTCCATTCCGTGAGGCTCTTCCGGGTTGGGGTAGGGGATTCCCTCAGATATTATTCAGGATCAGCTGTTACTGCTTGAAGGCCTGGGAGCCTCCCCAACTTTGCTATCTGACAAGGAAACCTATCTCTGAATCCTTGAAATCCAAAGAGTGTTACTTGAGATACTTCCTATCCAAGGTCCCCCAGGGTTTACACAGGGGATGGGATTCTATTGGCCTTCTCTCTTCTGATATAGGGGGTACCTTCAAATCTCACTTTGTTAAGGTTTTTACTGTAATTTCGGGCAGTGTCTGCAACTCATTCCTGAAACTCTCTGCTGACCTGATGTTCCACGCTACTCAAATCATTGTCTTAGCTTCTCTGACAACTCAGAGGCAGGAGTTGGGGAAGCTAATTTACGCCAGCCCTATATGAGGCCTCTCAGGGCTGAGAGGAGGAATGAAGCTCTCTTATGTGGTGGCCTCTGTCGTGTGAGAGTGGGAAACTCTGACAGAACTTGCATAGATGTCTTTCATTGACACATGAGTGGGAGATGTGGGACGACTCCTTCTCCTGATCTAAGTCAGCCAGCCTTAAACCAAGGTCATCCTTTCCAGCCACTCCACCCTTTAATCCTCCATTCCCAGTCTCCAGGGATGATATCAGGAGGTGCTCCGGTCAGATCTGCAGGCATGGGGTTAGAAGTGCTAGCAGCGGTCGTGGGCTCTGGGCTGGACCCCCTGCTCTGGGGTGGGTGATTCTCTCAGAACATCCTAAGAGTCTTGGCCTACACTTCTTTTGGACTCTGGGATCCCCGTTCTCTGTGGGCCTGAAGATGACATGTGAGCCAACACTCTCACCTCACAGTGAAAGAAGACGCAAATTTTACTACTATCATGTACTACCTTCAGGCACGCCTAGTATATAATCCTTTAAAAAAATTTTCATTTCAATTAAGTCAGGGTTCTAGCAATTATAAAGACAGAGATTTTGGGGCTGGGGTTGTGGCACAGTGGGTTAAGCCACTGCGTGCGATGTCAGCAACCTGTGTGAGCGCTGGTTCAAGTCCTGGCTGTTCCGTTTCCAATCCAGCTCCCTACTAATGTGCCTGGGAAAGCAGCAGAAGATGGTTCAAGTGTTTGGGCCACTGCCGCCCGTGTGGAAGAACCACATGGAGTTTCAGGCTCCTGGCTTCAGCCTGGCCAGGCCCAGCCCTGGGGATTGTGGCCATTTGGGGAGTGAACCAGCAGATGGAAGATTTTTCTCACTCTCTCTCTCCCTCCACTCCTCCCTCCCTCCTCCCCTCTCTTTTTCTCTCTTCCCCCCTTCAAATAAATACGAATTTAAAAAGAGATTTGGGTTTGTGATTCCCCTGCCCCTAACCAACTGAACAATGAATTGCACCATCTGCAATGGTACTCCAACCAGCTTGGAAATGTTTGCATTGAAGATAGGCCCCCTCAACCAGACACAACCACAGAAAATCCACTCATTATTCTGCAAAGAATTCAGGACTAATGAGAGGCAGTCTGAGCTGCAGAAAATGGCAGGATCTTTGATCAAGGTAGAGATAATTAGCCTCAGGGAATTCTTCCTCAAGTCTCCCAGTCCTTGCAGCTGCCTATTCCCCTCTAGCCTTCACTGGTACTGCTCTTCCTCTTTTACCCATTGTTCATCACCAATCCCTCCCACATGCACAATCTCAATCTTAGTGAAGGGAAGGCCACATACACAGAAGGAAAAGTACCATTTCTTACCAAACAGCAGCACAGCCCTCAGTCCTGGTACATGAAAAAGGATGCACAGATCACCAGAGCAGTGAAGAAATCCATTAACACCAACTGTGGGTGATGCAGGAGAGCTAGCTAGAGTCGGTCTGACAAGCGGGAAGTGGAGATTCTAAGAGCATGTGGGGTCTATGGTGTGCCTCTGGTCCTCTCATCCAATAAATCTGCCCCTGCAGATAATCCTACAACTTCTTGCTCATAATGAGGATTCAGAGAGTCCCAAGCCTTTTCATAAAAGTTTTCCAGTGTGCCACCAGTGCCCCTATCTTTCCTTCTGGTCCCTTCTTTACCTTGTGCTGAAATCTGAATACAGATCTCTGCCCTGTGCTCTCTGGACTTGACCTCTCATGGATTCTGGAGGCTGTGCTATCCCTGGTCCTCCTGATGTCCCTCATTAGCTGAGTTTGTCTTGTATAAGCTTGTTTTCTTCACCTGGTCATTCTGACCAAATTCTTCCTTCTCAAAGTAAACAGAAATGTTTTACTGACATGCCAGAATTTTAAAGCATGCACCAAGAGCAATCCTGGTTCTTGAGACACCACTGCAGGTATCTTGCTTTGTATGGATGTAGGATTGTGTTATCTTTTCTGTTCAACCTACTTAAAAAATGAAGAAATATAAATGAAAATAACAATGAGACAATATATTTTCAATCAAGTTTCACCAGAATTTAAAAGATTGATAAAATGCCCCCCAAGAGTTTAATTTATTCACACACATTAATATGTGAAAATAAAAATTGGCACAGCACTATTGTAAAAGAATAGCAACAATATTCATAAAATTTATAATCATCAGTCTTTCCACTTTAATTCAATTTTCACTTTTCTAATCTTTCCTAAAACATGCAAGGTTGTCTACGAATTAATGTTCTTTCATGCAGGTAATAATTCTATTAATCATACCAACAAATGGGAAACAACTTGTGTGTCCATCAGAAGATTGGTTCTGTTTATTATGGCTCCTATATACTTTAGAATTTTAGGGAATAGCTGAAAGAGTAAGGTGTGTCTATATATGTGTGATAGAAAGATTCTTTTTTCAGATTTATTTGAAAAGCAGAGAGAGAGAGAGATTTTCCAACTGCTGGTTCACTCCTCAAATGGCTGCAATGGCCGGGGCTGGCCCAGGCTGAAGTCAGGAGCCTGGGACTCCATCTTGGGGCTCCCATGTGGGTGGCAGGAGACCAAGCAAGCATTTACAGAATCTTTAGCTGCTTTCCCTGGGAGCATTATCAGGGAGCTGGATCAGAAGCCGGAGCAGCCAGTACTCACTGATGAACAAAGACATAAGCCTCAGCCATTCTTGCTCATTGCCCAAAAGAGAGGTAGCATTGGAATTTATTCCTTGCCCTTGAATCTCAATTGGGTCTCACACCCTATTGTCTTTACACCCTACCTCCACATTCCCATTCTTCCCCAGTTGGGAGGCCCAGTGGCCATATGAAAAACCAACTCTGAGGAATTCCCCTCCTCCTGCTGCCCCCTACCCCCACCCCCACCCCTAGCCCTCCTAAGATATAAAAAGGGGTGGCCCTTGGGGCCAGGGCCTCCTGCTGTGTGTTCTGTCAATGTGCACACTGGCAGTTGGTCACTCACCTCTGCAGATTTATTTTCTCTGAATAAATTTGGTCTGGCTGTACATTCATATTCTATTCCCTATCTGTTCTATGTCTCTTTTCCTAACACTCACCATCATTCCAGTCTGAGATGGCAGTGCTGCAGGTCCCCTCCCTGAAGGATTCTGAATTCATGTTATTCAGTGACAAGGATAAGAAGCAGACAAATATGTACAGTTGTTAATTTGTGGTAACTACTCACAATGCATTTTGCTAGCACATGTATGTAATAGAAACCCTAGAATACATTTTAAAATGCTGCATGCAAGATACTTTAATATGACTACCTTTGAGGAGGGACTGCATTTTGGAGGAACATAGTAAGAAGGAAGAATTGAGATTGTTTTGTATTGTTGGACTCTTTTGTGACAACAAGAATATTTGTAATTAAAATCTTTCATTAAGGCCGGCGCCGCGGCTCAATAGGCTAATCCTCCACCTTGCGGCGCTGGCACACCAGGTTCTAGTCCCGGTCCGGGCGCTAGATTCTGTCCCGTTTGCCCCTCTTCCAGGCCAGCTCTCTGCTGTGGCCAGGGAGTGCAGTGGAGGATGGCCCATGTGCTTGGGCCCTGCACCCCATGGGAGATCAGGATAAGTACCTGGCTCCTGCCATCGGATCAGCGCGATGCGCTGGCCGCAGCACGCCAGCCGCGGTGGCCATTGGAGGGTGAACCAAGGGCAAAGGAAGACCTTTCTCTCTGTCTCTCTCTCTCACTGTCCACTCTGCCTGTCAAAAAAATAAAAATAAAAAAATAATAAAATAAAAAAACTTTCATTAAGACTAGCAATAAAATAGTAGCTGTGTACTATATAAATAAAGTTCATATAAGATGTAATGGAAAAAAAAGCCTGAAATCTGAATGGCTTAACAGTCAAATTTTATCTCTTATGCAAGTTAAATATTCTGTGGATTGGCAGAGGGTCTCTGCTGTAAGGTGACCCAGAGATCTAAGCTGTTTTCATTACATAGCTTCATATTTCAGCACAGGTTCTTCATGATTGCTGCTGAATGAAACAGAAAGAATGGATGTTGCAGAAAGATGGAGATAAGCCACCACCTTCTATACTGGCATCCCACATGGGCACCAGTTCAAGTCCCAGCTGCTCCATTTCCAATCCAACTCCCTGCTAATGTGCCTGGGAAAGCAGCAGAAGATGGCCCAAGTGCTTGGACCCCTGTATCCATGTAGGAGACAAGGAAGAAACTCCTAGCTCCTGGCTTCATTCTAGCCCAGCCATAGCCATTGCTGCCATTTGGGTAGTAAACCAGCAGAAGTAAGATTCTCTTTCCCTCTCCCTCTCCCTCTCCCTCTCCCTCTCCCTCTCCCTCTCCCTCTCCCTCTCCCTCTCCCTCTTTCTCTCAACTCTGCTTTTCAAATAAATAAATAAATCTTTAAAATAAAAAGTTACTCTTGTTATGACAATAGCTTTCTTAGCTCTTTGAGGAGTTTCTTAGACTATCAAGTAACCTTTCTATTCAACAGTGTTTTCTAGGGCCTATAGATGACAGGAGTTTTCAAATCCAAGATCGTTTTTTT